TTATTTTATACTGATTTTAACATAGGCGCTTTACTTACTAATCGGCCCGATAACTCTTGATGACGTGTTTGAATGTCTGCCATCTCTAATTATTAGTGTAACATTCAGCTCTAAATTATTGATTATAATGTTAAATAACGAGAAAGTAAGTAATGAATTTTCAAACTTGCATTAGTACTTTATTCGTATGCAAAAAAATTCCATTAGCAAGAAATACGGCAGCATGTGTTTAGGTAAAGCTTTGTCTTAACATAATACGAAAGGATTGGTTATCAGTAAATACAGATATAGAAAGGATTATTCTGCAACGACATACGAGATATGGACAATATCTGGCGGCATTTTATGCAGGTATGTACAATGCATACTATGTATAGGTGTTATAGTAACCTGCGTGTATTTTCGATCACATCCTTCGCGATTTTATGAAACATTACTTTATTGCTTTCTTAAAAAAAATTATTTAAATGATATACTTATCAAAAAAATGAATCTTTGTATTTTATGCATGTTAATAAAATGACCTAATACTAATCTCAGCAACAAGATCCTAAGGGTCTTGTTGCTGAGATTAGTATTTTCTCTAGTTTTCATGCATATGACGGGGTGCCTTTTCGTACTTAAACCAATCATGCTGACGCTGATGGCGAATGATATCTTCAACGTGACAAAATCTTCTGTACCATTTGCATCAAGATTACCATTTCGCGTTGAATACGGCGAGAAATTCAATCAATATATATATCCGATAGCACTGCATAGTTATATGGCTGTATTTGCTCACACGTTCGCTACAATCGCGGTTGATGGCTTGTACTATAGTTTAATTCAACATGCTTGTGGAATGTTTTCAATTATTGGGTAAAATCTCTCTTAATCATTAAAAAAATTGAGATACCTTTCTTGAATAATAATCGATTTCTTTAATGATTTAATATCAAAATTTCGATTTGCCAAAAGCGCTATTTTTTGCATTGCAGAAATACACTGGAGAATATTGGTAAACGTAACGAAAGGATTTTTTATGCAAAACGAACCTATTATAAGATACAGGACAATAACTATAGTACAGCCTTATACTGTTTACGTAGACATCCTATTGTAATAGAGTATGTTTGAAAATATAATGTATAACTTTTATCCATTTTTATCATTGGTATTGATAGGTACCTATTTATAAGTTTATATTTAATTGTGTAATATCCTGACATCACAGATTTGCGGAACATATCGAATCGTTATTTACAAAAATATTTCTAATTAATCTTAACTTAAATATGATCATTGGAAGTTTAACTGGTATACAAGTACGTATCAACTGATATACAAGTACGTATCATCTTTTTCTTTTTATATTATAAATAATTTTAAAACGTAAAGGATTTGTAAACATCTTTTCGACATTATAATAACGTTATAAGAAAATAATCTTTAATAACCACATCTTTATAGTGGCGATAAATTTTGCGAGTGCGATAGCTGAAGTAAATACAAAAATGAGTTAAATGTATATTTTAGGTTTTAATGAATTTAGACAAAAGCGTAAATGACATTGCTGGGCCCATAACTATGTATATTGCACAATTCCTTCATTTGTTTCTTCACTTCTGGCAAGCTCAATTTTTACTCGACTACAGCGTCCTTCCATATAAATCTATGTAAGTGCTGTGCAAATTAATTTAAGTCAATTCTTTCAGAATTTAGTTAATTCATTTTTCTAATTTATTTCTGATTTTAAATCATCGAGAAATGCTTGTATCAAAACGTATGATTTTTTGAATATTATTTACAATTATAATAGTATAAATTATCGTCTCTTACATTTTAATTCTGATGTATCTAATTGCAATTTTTTCATAAATAATTTGCAATTACTTGGGTAATATGGCCACAAGCTGTAATTTGTCTAATAATTGCTAAATAGGGTATTTTTGTAATTATTCTACAAAAGCTTATTGATCTTCTTTTCCGCATAGCCATTTTATCCAAGTTTAGCCTACACAAGTCAAATCAAAAGATAGATTGCAGCATTCTCTGTATTGAATACTAAATGAAGGTCTAATATTATATAAACACAAATATTTGATTTTATTATTAGTACATAAAGAGCATTAGCAATGGATAATGATAAAAACACAGCGATAACCCGCAAACCTTCTGGTATAATTATTAAGTACTGAACTTAGTTTTCGCGGTTTACATTTAGACGTTACGAGGGCAAGTTAATAAGTGCTTAGAAAATCTGTTAGAGGACACTCGCAGTATCATGTCACATTACTTTTTGACAAGTAGCATCTTTCAGCTGATTACTGTCAAATTTTGAACGAAATTTATCGAGAGGTTTAATTTCTGTAGACGATTAAAGCAAACAACCTTTGTATTTTTTGCAAAATGGAAAAAAACGAATTTTGTGCAGTGATCAAACATCCTAGATACATATGAAAGGTTTAACGCCGACAGAAACCAAAGCCGAGTTGGATAATGTTCATATAGCACATCTGCACCAACGTTTGCGACTGTATACAATTGGGTGAATGAATTTAAAAGTGGTCGTACATCCACATGTGAACCTCGTTCGGAACATCTAATTGAGGCTGCTACGCCAGAAATCATCGATAAAGTCCACGATATTGTTTTGACTGATCGACGAATAAAAGTGCGCGAACAATTGGGTATGAAAGAGCTATCGGCAAGGTGGGTGCCGCGTTTGCTCACTGTAAACCATAATGCGTCACCGTGTAACGATTACAAAACAATGTTTGTAGATGTTTCAACATAATCCATATAAATTTTTGCATCGATTCATTGCTGTAGATGGAACATGGACCTAGTTTACATCCAGCCGTCCAATCCCGATTCACTTCGAAGTGAAGTGAAATTTCTTGGGTGTAAACGGATTAGTTTCGATTGATTTCAATCCTCTTTTCTCAGCGGAATAGAGCGAATCCGGTGTAAACATTCCATAAATCCACTTCACTTCGAAGTGAATCGGGATTAGACGGCTGAGTGTAAATTAGGTCATGGATCCATTAATTACTTCACACCCGAGACGAAGGAACAGTCAAAACAATGGACTTCACTGGGTGAACTAGCTTCGAAGAAGGCGAAGACCGGTGTAGTCGGCCGGTAAGACGATGGCCACAGTTTTTTGGGATGCACGCGGTATAATTCATGTCGATTATTACCTTCCGTCGAAGCAAATCATCAATGGCGATTACTACACAGCCTTATTGGACCGTTTCAACAATATTTTAAAGAAAAAACGTCCCCATTTGGCGAAGAAGAAAGTCCTCTTCCATCAAGACAATGCACGGGTTCACACATGCCCGGCACCGATGGCCAAATTCAACGAATTCAGCTACAAATTGCTTCCCTATCCAGCATATTCGCCAGATTTAGCCTTCTGCGACTATTTCCTGTTTCCAAACCTGAAGAAATTGTTCGGAGGAAAGAGATTCACCACCAGAGAGCAGCTCATATCGCCGAAACAGAGGCTTATTTTGAAGGGTTGGACAAATCATATTATTCGGACGGCTTGAAAAAGTTGGAGAATCGTTGGATCAAGTGTATCGAGCTGAAAAGAGACTATATTGAGAAATAAAAATGAATAGAAAAAAATGTGTTTTACTATATATTTTTCTAAAAATTTATCGACTTGCCCTTTCGTAGTTGTAGGTGTAATTTAATTTGACATCTGAAACTAGCTGCATTTTAGATGTTAGACATTTGTCAACAAAATTCATTGCGAAGAGATTCATTTAAGCGAACAGTACTATTGCTTTCTTTTTTTTTTATTAAATATGGAATGTGATAAGTTGTTTTTTTTTTACATGTGTTGCTTCATTACTTTGATTTGAAAAAAACTGTAGCTGCAGCTCATCAATTGCTTGTCGAATCTTATGACAATTATGCTCCATCGAAAAGAACATGCCAAGAATGATTTCAGCGATTTAAAAGTGATGATTATGATGTGAATAATAATAAGCAAGACGCTCAGGTCAACCGAAAAAGTTTGAAGACGCCGAATTGCAAACATTATTGGACGAAAACTCAGCTCAAACGTTCTAACAATTATCTGCAGCATTACTCCGATTGCTGTTTTCAAACGTGTACATGCAATAGGAAAGATTCAAAAGGAAGGAAAATCGAAAATGCCATTTCGAATCGCTTAAACATCTCTATTTCTCTGCTCGCCAAACAGAAAAAAAAGAATTTTTGTGGCGCATTGTAACGGTGAAAAGTTGATATATTGTGACAATCCCAAACGAAAAATGTCATAGGTAGACCCGGGCCAACCATCAACATCTAAAGCGAAATATCCATCGCTACAAAACAATACTCTGCATTTAGTAGGATATGCAAGGTATCGTTTACTACGAGCTACTCAAACTGAACGAAAGTATCACGGGGGATCGACATCAATTATAATTGAACCGTCTGAATAAAGCGTTATTGGAAAAAAGACCAGCATTAGCCAACAATCGACGCAAAATGATGTTTTTGCACGACAACGCTCGACCACACGTTGCAAAAGCTATCAAGGAAACACTGATGTAGCTCGTATGGGAAGTTCTCCCGTACCCAAGCATATTCACTAGACTTAGCTCCTTCAGACTATTACTTGTTCCGATCGATGCAGCACGGCTTAGTGGATACACACTTCAGAAATTACGAGGATGTGCGAAAGTGGATCGACGAATGAATTGCTTTAAAAGACCAATCGTTCTATCGTCGCGGAATCCACTTATTGCCCGAAAGATGGGAAAAATCTATAGCTAGCGAGGGCAAATACTTTGATTGACGTATTTTTTAATGTCGAGATAAATGAGTTTTTTAAGCAAAAAAAACCGCGGAAATTAAATTTACTACCTAATAGTATATGTATAAAGACTTATTATTTATCGTTTCAATTTATAATTATTCTTTTTATTTCAAATAATAGTTGCAGAGCGAATTGGTATTATACTTCATACAGATGTCGAAAACTCCTTCTCCTGATCATGAATAGAACGACGTCACCATGCAAAATCACCGCTGGCAAAATAGTGACTCTATCTATTGAAAGCTTTGCTACAGTAAGTATAAAATTGTATTGTTATCTTTTTAAGTTGTATTGTTATAATTGTAACTTACCGAGGGAATTTTTTATTTCTTAAAGGTTATAAAAACATCTCTATCTTATCTCACTATGTTTCGTTCTCTCCAGTGATGATTTAGCGAATAAATTATTAAAACTATTTAAGTTGAAACACATCTCTTTAATGTAATAAAATCTTATGTATTATATGTACCTATTTTTCTTTTTTTCTTTATAATTTACAATATTTTTCTTCAATTTTATAGCAATCAAAAAATATAGATGTTACGTATGTATAATTGTATACATGTGTTTCATCATAATAATTAGTACCATATTTTCCATACAGACATACTTACCATTTTTTTTCGCAATATCTAGAAGTTTACTTTTAGATGTTTGTCAAAGAAGTCCGCTCTTCTCTAATAATTTTTGGCCCATATAACTTTACATAAGTATGTATGTTAATTGACGTAAACTATGTTTAATCAACCGAACAGACATTCTAGAAAATTTATTTTTCGTATTAACAGTGAAAATAAATGAAGAAACAATTTGAAAATTATTTATTCTATATTCTACATTTTATTAATGTTATATTCGTCGACTTCATTTTAATTAAAGGTAAATAAATGTCAACGTTTGTAAAAATTAGGCTCTATTATAATAAATTATATTAAAATAATAATATGTCATATTTTCACGTGCGTCGTTTGTCACTTCTTCTATTTACTTTCTCTAATGCAGGTATATACAGTTTTCTCCGAAGTAGTGTAAGGTGTTGCATCTTTTCTAAGACGAGATAAAACCATTACATACAGAATATGAAATTAAAAGAAAGTGTCTCTTCAAAGAGAAATTATAAGTAACGGCTTTAAGTATGTAAAAGGAAAAGGATTGGAATACAGCAGGTAATTGGCCGCTTATTCCTTAGCACAATTACAATGCTGTTACGGAATAGGAGATAGAAGAAATCAATAAGTAATCTTCTATAATTTGTTGAAAATTAAACGTTGAATGTCGACGTTCAAATGGAATAGTTGATATAGTTTGCAATCTTCTTATTCCAAAAAATGATTGAGAAGAAAGATCACAGTGCACAAAGTCGATACTACAGCGTCGTTAGATTCTATTTGATTATTACAGGATTATGGCCATATCACAGACTTCGCCATAGATATATTCGCTTCGTGCCGTTGTTTGTGTTTAGCTTTACTATTCTGATACCTCAGGTATATCCATTAAAGGTATATCAATTAAAAGATTTGCCAAAGAAGAATCCATCTGTTTAGTGTGTTGCAAAGTTACTAATTGCATGTTTTTTTCTTTTGATACGACTAGAAGTTTAATATATCGATATTTTGAACATGGCTTGACCTTTTCATTTTTATATGATTTTTTTCGAGTATCACTTACTTTTTAGAGTACAAATATATCACAAAAATATATATAAAAAAATGATTTAAAAATATTATATAACGAAAGAGAGTGAAATATGGCGAAAGAGAGGGGGGGTGGGGTGGGTGACGGGGGAAGGGAGAGAGGAAGAGGTGCGATGGGTTGAAGTTGGTGGAGGTGTGAGTGAAAGATGAGACAAGAGAGAGGTGCGCATAAGAGTCTACGCACAATAGGAGAAATATTAGGAACAGATATTAAACATAAGAATTTTAACCTGTCAGAAAGCGCACATTCCACAGTACACAGTTCTGATAGGTTAAAATCCTTATATTTAATATATGTTCCTAATATTTCTCCTATTGCGTGCGCAGACCCTAACTGCGGACAGAGAAAGAGCAAAAGAAAGAAAAGGAGATGTTACTTCATTTCTCATGAAAATTATCACTTTTCGCTATGTCCAGAACGGCTTAACCGTTTTTTAATTTTTTTAGCTCAAATATTACTCGTGGCGATGCCACCTTTCGGGATATATTACGTGCAATTCAATATTTTTTGTATTTTAATAGTTATGTACCCCCAAAAAATGGACTTTGATGGCTCGAGATAAGAGACTTGTAGTGTCAATTATTAATCTTTCAAATTTAAATTAACTAGTTTTTTTAATATGGCCGAGACACTACCGCGTCTCCTGATACAGTTAGTTATCAAACTATGTGAAAATAATACATACATTCGCTTAACAAATTATATTAAATTTTTAAAAGGTATACTTTAACAAAATCCACCCGAAAAAAGAAAAAAGAAAAATAATCTTAAAAAATATTGGTGTAGTTTATCAGAAGAATGAACAATTTTAATATATTTGAAAAATTATAAGAAAATAAATATATATATACAATATATATAATATATATATGTATACATAGGCCTTTATTAAATCTTAGAAAAATTAATTTATGAATTTCGTGATTGTGTTTAACTCTAATACAGATACTTTATTTACTAATCGGCTCAATCACTCTCGATGACGTGTTCGAATGTGTGCCACCAATATTCATCAGCATAACATTCAGCTTTAAAATATTGGTCATAATGTTGAATTCTGAGAAAGTAAGTGATGAATTTTCAGTCTTAGTTCTGGACTTTTGTACACTACAATGTTACAATCATGAGAAATACTCGCGAGAATGTGTTTAGGTAAAGACTTGTCTTAATATAATACAAAAGGACTGGCAATCATTAAATTCAGTAGAAAAGGATATGCTGGAACGGCATAGTAAGTATGGACAGCATCTGGCCACATTTTATGCAGGTGTGTATAATTTCAAGATTGTAAAAGTTTATAAGAAATTCAGTTGGACGCACTAGTACGCACTAGTGCATACTAAAGCTGTTGTATACTGATTTAATCTGTGTAAAAGTAAAATGTAAATATTTCGGATTATAAATTTTATTTAACAGCACAACACAAATAATGTATTAAGGATTTTATGATTCAATCCGTTTTTATATTTACATTAAAAACATATTTTTACATAAAATTGTGTATAACGGCTTTAATATGGACCAATATGCATTAAGTGCATTCAATCGAATTCGCTGTTGGATAAATATCTTGAACACAAACATACATAAGCGTATATAGTCTCATATTCCTTGTATAATCTTACAGCACTGTCAAACTTATAAAAAAAAAAGAATTGTATAAAAACACATACTCACACCACATAAAATATCGATATTTTTATTTTAAATAACATGTCGATAAATAATGACTTTAAGATCTTGCGACAATTATCATTTTCTTTAGTTTTCATGCATACGACGGCGAGTCTTTTCGTGGTGAAACCAATCATGCTGACTCTGATGGCGAATGATATCATCAATATAACGAAATCTTCCATACCATTCGCGTCGAGATTACCTTTTCGCGTGGAATACGGTGACAGATTCAATCAATATATATATCCAATAGCAGTGCATTGTTATACTGCCGTCGTCGCTCATTCGTTTGCTACAGTCGTGGCTGATGCTTTGTATTATACTCTCATTCAACATGCTTGTGGAATGTTCTCCATTGTTGGGTAAAAACAATCTCTCTTGATTGTAGAAAGATAATGCTCTGCATGAATTTTTGTTTATTTCTTCGATTTTGTTTATTTCTTTCTTATAAAATCTTATAGTTTTTCAAAAGCGTCGATATTTTTCGTGGCTTTACAGAAATGTACTCGAAAACATTGGAAAAAATGATATGAACGATTTTGATGTGAAATCAGATAAAATTAAAGACGACAATTATTATAAAACTTTACACTGTTTACGTAGACATCTCGGCGTAATAGAGTACGTATGAAAAAATATATCAAGTGACAACACCTATTTTTGCCATTGTGTGATACTTTGTATTAATTATAATTATTTACCGTTCTCATTTTGCAGATTTGCGAAACATATTGAATTCGTTTATACAAAGATATTTCTAATAAACCTTAACTTAAACATGGTTATTGGCAGTTTATATGGTATACAAGTACGTATCAGTTTTTCCTTTTTACGTAAATACTTTTGATATGGAATGAAATGGAACGAGGATTTTCGCCAAGACAAATACAAATTTGGGAAAAATAATACTATCATTTTTAGCTTTTATTGCCTTTAATTACTGCAGTATTTCAATATTTCAAATAGGTATATTCGCTATAGTGCGTCAACCGAAAGAAAGATGGTAATTAAATATGCATTTTAGATGTTGATAAATCTTGAGAAGAACGTAAATGATATCATCGCACCTATTAGTATGTATATTGGACAACTCATTCATTTGTTTCTTCAGTTCTGGCAAGGTCAATTTCTACTGGATTACAGCATCCTTCCGTATGAATCTATGTAAGAATGTAAATTTATTCAATTTTTTGGAAGTCTATTACCTGATTTTTTTTCTTTTGAAGCTCTAGAGAAAAATTTGAGTACAAGTTTGAGGTTTATTTTATATTTTAGGCATATTATTTACGATTGCTAATCGTATGCGTTTATAATATAATACTACTTTAAACTTAATATTATTAGTAGTGTTATAGTGGAAGTTACAACTCGGGAGCTCCAAGGAAAATGCGGGGCGCGGGGGATTCTTCGGAGGTGGGGGTATATAGCGTTGTGCGGGAATGACAGTAAGATGTCACAGATTTTGGGACTGCAGTCACGTACAAGACAAAAAAATTATAAAAAATAGAGAATATCACCATAAAGAATAAATACAGAAAAAGCAAATGATTTTTAACGAAAAGTGTTACAAAGGGTATATGAACCAATTGTTTTTTCAACTGAGATATGGTGTAATGTTATTTTTTTCTAGAAACATTTATTAGGTAAGTAAATGCGCAAATGTAAGTGAAACTCGACAGAATGGTATTTTTTATTTTTTATGAGGGCAAAAAAATATGTCTAAGGTAAATACGTAAAGATTTGGTTAATAGAAATGAATATATAATTTTGAAGCATTCCTAAAGTAAAATTAGAAAATATGATACGTACAGTAAGTAAAACTCGACAGAATTGTATTTTTTTAATTTTGTGGGGCTTTTTAAGCATATATATATTATACTTTTGAAAAAATGTGCGCTAATGCTCTACTCTGAAAAGAGGTTGTGTGTTGAAATTACAACAATGGCACGAATCGAACATGTCGATAAATATTATCAACGTAATATTCGTATTGAATGTGACCGCGGGTGCATACAGCAACGACAAGTGCATATACACGAGTTTTTCGCCAAGGGTGCCACCAGGATATAAGATATCGGAAAGACCTGTACAGATCATTTACCTTCCGATCATCGTACGGAGCATATATTACGGATCTGACGATTCGCGTGGATCAAGACAGACGATTGTTCAATTTTCGTGGAGAAGAGATCACCGTTAGATTGCATGTGCGGAGGCGACAGCGATATAAAGTGATACAACACCGATGACGTGGATGCTTGTTTTGAACGAGCAGGCGAAACAGACAAGAGACAAAATGTTTCTAGAAAAAAATTACATTATATACACCGTATATCTCAGCTAAAAAAAACAGTTGGTGCATATACCCTTTGTAACACTTTTCATTTATAATCATTTGTTTTTTTCTGTATTTATTGTTTATGGTAATATTCCTTATTTTTTTGTGATTTTTTGTGATTTTTTGTCTTGTACGTGACTGCAGTTCCAAAATCTGTGACATCTTACTGTCATTCCCGCACAACGCTATATACCCCCACCTCCGAAGAATCCCCCGCGTCCCGCATTCCCCTTAGAGCTTCCGAGTTAGAACTCCCACTATAACACTACTATTATTGTAATATTAACCCTTTACTTGGATAGTGTATACAACAGAAATGAAAAACTAGACTTTATAGTTTTCTGTGTTTATAGATAGCAAGATAAGAACCTAATGTGAATATAAATACTTGCTGAATTTATCGTTAATCATTTTAATTTTTCTCATTTCATATAATAGCTGCAGAGCAAATTGGTATTACACTTCACAAAGATGTCAAAAACTTCTGCTCCTAATGATGTATAGAACATTAATACCTTGCAGAATATCAGCTGGTAAATTAATGATTCTTTCTATCGATAACTTTGCTATGGTAAATATATAACTGCATTATTGTATTTTTCATTTTTGTTGTTATAAATGCAGTTTACCGAAAAAAATTTTATTTCTTAAAGGTTGTGAAGACTTCCCTGTCTTACCTCACCGTGTTCCGTTCTATGCAATGATGATTTAGCGCATTTAAATATTCACTCAGAAACCTCTTAAATTAAAATGTATTTCTTTAACCCGAGAGTAGTCACTTTTAATTTCTTTATGTAAACAATCGAGATGTTTTATATCCCTATTAACACCAATATTATCAACAATATATTGTACATTGTTTTCCGATCTATATTGTCATTTAAAAACATTACGCATTTAGATTTAATACATTTTTCGAAAAAAGTAAGTAGAAACTAAAAAATATTAAATGGAATAAGCACGTTAAATATAACTTTTTATTTTATTTATCACAATATGTCTATAAAATATAAATTTTAATTATAGTTATACATTGAGTTGTGCTCGATTTGTGCTACGGTAGCACAACTCAGATATACAGTATTGATCACATGGAAGCACTACAAACCCGATTTATGAGCAAAAAACCGAACACGGAGGGAAAAACTATTTTTAGTCATAACTTTTGGTGTTATGAAAGAACGGCTGAAATCTTTGCGGCACAATGTAGCACAAATCGAACACAACTCAGCACAATGTTTATTTTGCCGATTAAACAAAATGGCGGTGCTGGCGAAAAAAACGTTTTTTTCAATTTAACGCTTTGTTTTTGAGTTATGTTATTAATTTTTGCGGCACAATGTAGCACAAATCTAGCACAATTCAGCACAAATTTTATTTTATTTTTTTATAAAATGGCGGTGCTAACTTCACGCACGTACATATATGTTACTTAAATCATTCTTTTTTTTTTTTTTTTTCATATTTTGCCTATATTTTATATTTTTATATTTTATATGTATCTCGTATGATAATCATATATGTAATTACATATATGATGATAATAAGGCTGCGCACAATGGAAGAATAGATATTAGTAGTATCTATAATATCTGTTCCTCAAATGTGCGCAGCTCTAAATGTGCCATACAGACATGTAAGCGACATATCGACAGGATAGGAGTGAGGGGCAGGATTTTCTATTACAGCGCTTTGCCACAATAAAAGGCTGAACTAATGGCATGGAAAAGTGACGTTTTCACGATAAAATTTTTGTTGCTTGCTATTTCGTATTTGCTTATTTGTGAAAATGTGACTATAGCCTCGTACTCGTGAAAGTCCTAAAAATGGCCGGAAATTACAGTTATCTTGAAATTTTATAAAAGCGTATATTTTACTCGTTTCAATTAGCTATTAAACTGTGTGATTCTGCCCGAGTATAGCCTCACTTACGTGCTCTTTACGACCATTTACTGACTATCAAAGGAGGAAAGAACAGTTTCCGGTCATTTTTACAAGTATTTTTAAACGATCTCGTCATTTACATTTATCCAAATTGTCTTTATTTACAAATGGCACGTAACAAAAATTAATGTGCATTTCTCGTCTATATATGACGTCACAATTCCAACGTAGCCGTCACGAGTACTGACACTCAGGAGCCTTAAAGCAGGAAATCTATTTTAAAGCAGGAAATTTTTGTTCTATATTGTTAAAAAGAAACATTATTTTTTCATACTCTCTCTCTCTCTCTTCTTTTATTCAATAACTTTTCAACGAATAACGGGCGACGACTAAAACTTGTTTCTCAGGGTCATGACCTAGGATGCTTACATGGGGTAAATATGGAAATGGGGGAATCCAGCCTCGATAACCTTGACATGACAACATATGTCAAGGTTGCGATAGTATATGTGTTAATAATAATTGTAACGCATATTTTCCAACAAGTTGCATTACTTTTTCCTCATACACACACACAGATAGATCGTACAATTTTGCGTAATATTTGAAGATTTACAACGTCATATGTTAAAATCAGGAGGATTCCGTTTGCCTACATTCCCGAATGCATACACCATTCACATTGGCCGGTGCCTAGTAACTTTTCACGTTCAATAAAATCTTACGAAAAAGCAAATTTAAAAATCACTACTCTCTTCACGACAAAATATATATTAATATAAATATAATAAATAAACGTGAGGAGCTATGGGAGTCTGGCGTAAAAATCTAATTAGTGTGCAGATAAATATTTTTATGTAAATTACTTCAAACAGTGAACTCTAGTTTTCTCATTCGGGGAATGAAGAATGCCAGCGGTCTTTCTTTGATCCAAGATTTCACTGCATCTTTCACTTCATTATCCATAGTAAAATGAATGCTCTTAAAGTCCCTTTTTTTACTTTGAAAGAAGTAAAAAATATAGGGCACCAAATTTACTAGCTTCCAATGTACGAAATTTTATTATACACCTATTCACAGTATTTCGATGAATTTTTCATACTATAAATGGTTTGTAAATGACGATGCCACTACAATTTATTTTTCGGATGACAAAGACATAATGAAATAGTAGATCAAGGAAAAACCGCCAAAGTTCTTTATTGGCCGGATGAGAAAATTCATTCATCATTAGGAGAAATAGCTGTAAATGGTAACTATGTTGAAAAGCAATGATACATTTTCTTGCAGCAAATAAAATACATTTTCATGACCTTTTGGTTTCATTCGAATATATCTTTTCATTTACAAGTTACATACGTTGCTGTGCATTACTTTTCAGCTGACTCATTATTTTCTCTATTTTCTGATTACTTAGAAAATACATAAAGTTTTAATGGCGGTAAAAATACATGCAAAAGTAGGATTTAAGCTCTCTAGCTAGATAAATATGTATCAGTAAAGAGGTATATTGTGCATCTTTATTAGTCATCTTAATTCATTCATTGTATAAAGCCGATAAATGGCCTTACTGATGGCAGGCCCGAGCCATTGTTTCTTGTTAACCTGAATATTTGCCAATAATTGCTCGCCATTCTTATCAGAATTCTCCAAAGCTGTAATTAAAATTTGCGGTGAGGCATAACGTTCTACAATCGCCATAGCTTTGTCAATGGACATGCCTTTTAATTGTAATAGCTGGCGAATAAACATCTCGCTCACTTTAAATGTCTAAAAGGAAATAATAATTAGCATTAATTATATTTCACATACAACTATATCTTGGACAGCAAGCCAAGGATTTCTTTTTCAATAAATCTAAGCATTTCTTGTATGCATCACATAGAAAATGTTGAACATACCCTTTGTTTAGAGGATACTTTATTGAATTCTTTGAATTCCATAAGGCATACTGCACTACTTATATTGTCGGTTTGAATAAAGTGTTCTTTCTCACATCCAACAAGTCTCTTATCCTAAAGTAAATCTATTATTTATCATAAGATCTATTAATAAACATTTATATATATATATATATTAAAACATTTATATATATATATA